AGATCATCGACATGGTACGTTGTTGTGGTTGTACAACTGTGGAGTGTGCTGGTGACAGTGTCAAGGAATTTGGGGGTGGGAGACGGGCATTATTCACCAAACGCTTCTTTTCTGGAAACGTTAACAATAACAGCTACTGACTTGGACACTGCTGGGTGCCCATGGTGTACCCCACACTTGGCACACTGGAACCCCTGCCCAGCAGGGGTCAGCACCCCTGTAACTGCTAAGGAAACTGAGGCCCAGAGAAGAGAGGACCTGCCAAGGTCACAGCAAGGCCTGAGTGGCAACTGGACTATAGGGCAAGGTGGGTTTGAGGGTACTGACAGAGCTCTGTAGGTGAGTTCACACACAGGGGAGGATATGCATGTACATGTGTCCACATCTGTGCCCACTCCCTGCCCTCAACTAGGATGAGCGCAACCAGGTGCTGACCCTGTACCTGTGGATCCGACAGGAGTGGACAGATGCCCACCTACGATGGGACCCTGATGACTATGGCGGCCTGGATGCCATCCGCATCCCCAGCAGCCTTGTGTGGCGGCCAGACATCGTACTCTACAACAAGTACTGTCTGCCTGGGCCCCTCCCCTCACCTTGCCCTCCCTAGAGTTGCCCTTGACTCTGGGTATGCACTTACCCCCACCCGCCATGGAACCAGTTGCTATGCTGCCCTGGAAGCTGTCCCCCAGGACCTTTCTGATCTGGCAGGAAGGCGATGGTGGTGTTGGCTACTGGCACAGTACGGCTCCTGGCAAGGGCCTGCTGGGGGCCAGCCCCTTCACAGGCCCCCCATGCACCGCCACCTTAGGCTATCCCAAGGCAACCCAGGCAGAATGTCTCCTGGGAGCCCACTCTGCAGTCCAGGGCCAGTTCTGTGTCTCACAGAGAAGTTTCTGGGGCACAAGTGTCCCTTTATGGCACGCTCCACCCTTCCAGGCTGGCTCTGAGTCTCAGGGCTCCCCAAAGGCCTGCCTAGGGTCTTCTGGAGCATCCCCTTATGCCGCCTACGCAATTCTGTTTCCCAGACAACACACGGCTCTGCATATTTTCCCAGGGGCCCCTCTACACTCTAAGCAGAAGACACCCGGGGGAAATCACTATGCCCCCATGTGCCAACTTTTGGAGAGGGCTTTTTATGCTGCCCAGGGCTAGATCCGTATGCTTTCTGGGCCCTTCGGCCACTGCCCCTTCTAGGCCTCCAAGAGCACAGAGGGCCCTCCCAGGGCACACTCCACCCTCCCCGCGGAGACACTGTGGCTTTGGGCCCCTGTAGCCACAGAGCCCCACCTGTCCTGGAGTGGCCTCGGGCTGCTGCCTCAGGGAGTCCCACCTTCCCGCAGGGCAGACGCGCAGCCCCCAGCCTCGGCCAGCACCAACGTAGTTCTGCGACGCGACGGTGCTGTGCGCTGGGACGCGCCGGCCATCACGCGCAGCTCGTGCCGTGTGGACGTGTCGGCCTTCCCGTTTGACTCGCAGCGCTGCAGCCTGACGTTCGGCTCGTGGACACACGGCGGGCACCAGCTGGACGTGCGGCCGCGCGGCGACCATGCCAGCCTGGCCGACTTCGTGGAAAACGTGGAGTGGCGCGTGCTGGGCATGCCAGCGAGGCGGCGCGTGCTCACCTACGGCTGCTGCTCGGAGCCCTATCCGGACGTGACTTTCACGCTGCTGCTCCGCCGCCGCGCCGCTGCATATGTGTGCAACCTGCTGCTGCCCTGCGTGCTAATCTCCCTGCTCGCACCGCTCGCCTTCCACCTGCCTGCTGACTCCGGCGAAAAGGTGTCGCTCGGCGTCACTGTGCTGCTGTCTCTCACTGTCTTCCAGCTGCTCCTGGCGGAGAGCATGCCACCGGCCGAGAGCGTGCCGCTCATCGGTGAGTGGGTGAGGGACTGGACGGGGGTGGGGTGAGGGTGGGGGGCTAAGGGGTCTTGGGGGAGAGCCTATCCCACCCCACCCCACCCCCAGAGACTGGCAGCCACCCTACCCAGTCTGATGTGTGCCGGTCCCCACAAATGCAGAAGCGAGGCCTGGGTCCCCAGAGTGGTTCCTGCTTCAGTGTGTACGGGAGCTGCCTGAGAGAAAGCCTCATTCTGAGACTGCAGGGAAGGAGTAGGCCCTTCTAGGAAGGACACTCTTCCCTTACTGGAAGGACGGGGGAAAGGTCTTTTCTCAAGGAAATGATGGAAGGAGGTCACTGTCCCCAGGGTCATAATTATAGGCACAATGTATTGAGTACTCAACTGTGTGCCAGGCACCCCTAAGCCCTTGACGTTTATTAACTCAGGGAAGCATTACAACACACTTAGGAGGTAGGTTCTGTCCTAACCCCAGTTACTGACAGGGTCAGTCGCTGGCTCCTTGCCATGGCATACTGTCTGAGAGGATGACTTGTGGGGAAATGCAGCCTCCAGCAGTGAGGGGAAAAATTAGTGAATTGGTATTGGGTTAGCCAAAATGTCCGTTACGTTTGTTTGTTTGTTTTTTGTAAAATAAAAGACACGTTTCATTTTCACCAATAACTTTATTGATTTGGATATTTTGAGTATGTGGGCTATCTCCTTCAATTGGCTTCTAGAGGGTAGAATCCAGGGCTGCTGCTAAACATCTTCCAATGCATAAGACAGCCCCCAAGCAAAGAATTATTTAGCCAAAATGTCAATAGTACCAAGATACTTTGCAAACCACTTTTGACACATTCCATCAGTCACAGCACCTTCTCCATACACTGCACAGATCTTTTTTGCATTTCAGTTGCATTTTTACCTTTCTTGAAATAATAAAACATAATACATTGGAAATGTTGTGTATTCTCTTCCATCTTCAATATTAAAATGGGTGCACAGAAATTCACCAAGTTTGATGTTTTTTTAAATGCACACTGATATGACAGTTGTCACAACACAATCTAACAAAATTGTTTCTAATGAAATTAAAGACAACTAAGCACTATTAGAAACATCATGTGGACAAAAACATAACAGACTTTTTGGCCAACCAATAGCTTCTGAGAACCCACTTGTGGGAGTGCAGACAGGGGAGACCTTGGCCCTTACCACCTTCTCCTTTCATCCACTGGGCTTGGAGGGTCCCGAGGGCCTCATGGTGGGTTCCTATTTATGCTGAGGTGGCTGGGAAGCTCAGGCCCTCTGAGTTCTTCTCTCCGGCCCCAGCTCACTCTGTCTCTTGCAGGGAAGTACTACATGGCCACCATGACCATGGTCACCTTCTCCACGGCGCTCACTATCCTTATCATGAACTTGCATTACTGTGGTCCCAGTGCCCGCCCAGTGCCGGCCTGGGCTCAGGCTTTCCTACTGGGACACCTGGCACGGGGCCTGTGTGTGCGGGAACGAGGGGAGCCCTGTGGGCAGTCTAGACGGCCTGAGCCACCTCCCAGCCCCCAGCCTCCTGCTGGCCCGCCAGCAGGCCCTTGCCATGAGCCCCGGTGTCTCTGCCACCAGGAAGCCCTGCTGCGCCACGTAGCCACCATTGCCAACACCTTCCGCAGCCACCGGGCTGCCCAGCACCGCCATGAGGACTGGAAACGCCTGGCCCGTGTGATGGACCGCTTCTTCCTGGGCATTTTCTTCTCCATGGCCCTGGTCATGAGCCTCCTGGTGCTGGTGCAGGCCCTGTGAGTCCCGGGAGTCTGCTGCGGCCACAGCAAGTCCAGGCAGGGATGGAAAGGCCAGGCGGTTGGTGGTCCTCAGATGGGCCACCCAGTCTCTCCCCACTGTGCCTACAAGCATGGGACACCCGTTCCCAGGATTAGCTCTGCTGACTTCACAGACCGTGAGGGAGCACGTGTTGCCTGTGTGTCCTGATCTCTAAGGAAAATACAGGGCTTGCTGCTCCCCTGATTCCCTGCAGAGGAGGAACTCTAAGAAGGGTCCAGATCAAAGTGCAGTCCTGGGGGACGATTGAACTTCCATGATGAGTGTTAGAGCTTTCAGTAGGGAGAACACAGAACTGCCACATGTCCTGCCTTATCTTCCTTCCTCAGTGGCTGCTGTTATACATACTGGGTCTTGCCTGCCCCTTCCTCAGGGCTCAGGGAAGGGGACTGGGGATTCAGATTCATGGTCTAGTTTCCAGAGCAGGAGGTAACACAAGGATCTGGCCCCAAAGCCCCAACTCAATCATTAAGTAAGTGTGTGCCTGGCACTTTCTCAATGTCCTGTCTTCCCTTCAGGGCCTGTGGTGGTGGGAGATAGGGATCCAGGTTTGTCTCTCTAGAAACAGGAACCTTAGGGCTCATGGATTAGAACAGGAATTACATCTTTACTCACAAGAAAATGATGGATTCGGCCAAGACCCTGGAGGGCACCTTAAGCTCTCTGCTCCATCTCCTGCTCCCTTCCCTCTGGGGTTAGCTTCAGTCACCTCACTCCCACACACTGAGACTCAGAGAGCTTGAAAGTGTCCGAGGGAGGGGCAGTGTGGGACCAGCTGTTCACAAGGTATATGTTTCTTCCTGACTTTCCCTTCTTCCCGAGCACCACCTCTTTGCCTCAGCCCCGGCCCCTGCCCTCAGGATCCTCATGGTCCGACATGGGCAACAGGCATGCACATGTGGTGTAGAGAAGCCCCAGGGACCTGTGGGGGCACAGAGGCAGCACCCAACCCAGCAGGGTCAGAGAGGCCAGAGAAAGCTTCCAGGAGGAGTTAATAGGAGCTTTCCAGTTGCGAGTGTGAGGCATTTGAGTGACACCAGCAAGTACCATGGCCAAGTGCTTTCCTCCCCAAGCACTCCCACCCCCAAGCAAGTTTGATCTTCTATCTCCAAGTGAGTTTGTTGGCTGTCCTGGAGTCCCCCCACCTCCCCTCAGTACCTCACTCCTAGAACACTGGATAAAGTTCAGGCCCAGAATTCTTTTTCTCCATCATCAGGCCTGGCAGCTGCCAGAGAAGGTCCCAGAGTTCCCTGCAGGTGGCGTTTCTGTGGATCTTGGCTACACTAAAAGTGCACATGTGGCCGACACCTTGTGTTGGGCAGAGGCGGCAGGCAAGGCTGTTCAGAGTCTGACGGGTCAGGGGAGGCCTGGGCTCTCTGGGAAGGCTCCCCCGACAAGGAGCCACAGCAGCAGTGCAAGGGACCAGACTGTAGAAAGGGGGGCCTGGCCCATGGCTGCAGGGAAACAGAGGCAGAGAGAAAGACTTAGAGGTGAAGGAAGGTGCACAAAGAAACAAGTCAAAGAGAAATGAGCAGAGTGAGCTGGAAGCACTGGTCACACAGTGTGACTGCAGGCAGACGAAGAGCGACAGTTTAGGGAAGCTGGGAGGACATTTGCACATAGCAGCTCCAGCAAGGGGTTACTATCCAAAATATATAAAGAACTCATGCAACTCAACACCAAACAAAAACAATCCATTTAAAAATGGGCAGAGGACTTGAAGAGACACTTCTCCCAAGAATACAGACAGATGGCCAAAGATATAAGAGAAGATGTTCAACTTCACTAGCTTTTAGGGAAATGCAAATCAAAACTACAATGAGATACCACCTCACACCTGTTAGAACAGCTGTTATCAACATGACAAGCAATAACAAGTGCTGGAGAGGCTGTGGAGAAAAAGCAACTCTCATTCACTGCTGGTGGGAATGCAGACTGGTACAGCCGCTATGGAAGACAGTGTGGTGGTTCCTCAGAGAATTTAAGAATAGAGCTACCACATGACCCAGCAACCCCTCTTCTGGGTATCTACCCAAGAAATTTGAAAATATTTATTTGCAAAGATATATGCACCCCTCTGTTCACTGCAGCAGTATTCACAGCAGCCAGGACATGGAGACAACCAGAGTGTCCTTCGATAAAGGACTGGGTAGAGAGGATGGGGCACGTGTGTATGATGGAATACTGCTCAGCGTAAAGAAGACAAAACACTGCCATTTGTAACAACAGGGATGGACCTTGAAAATTATTATGCTAAGTGAATCAGTCAGAAAAAGTTGAAAACCATGATTTCACTCATATAGGGGCACAAAACTGAAAGTAACAAATGAACAAGAAAAACAAACAAACAAACAAAAACTCGTAGACACAGACAGCAGCACGGTGGTTACCAGAGGGAAGGGTGGGGCAGTAGCAGAGGGTAGAGGGGGCGAATACATGGTGATGAAGGTGATTTGATTTCGGCCAGTGGGCGCACAATGCAATATACAGAGTATGTATCACAGAACTGTACACTTGAAACCCTTATAATCTTATTAACCAATGTCACCCCAATAAATGTGATTTTAAAAAAAAGGAATTCAGAGAGGAAGGTGAGCAGAGATGAAGCGCCTGGGAGACACCAGACGTTACAGGGTCTGTCCTCCTTCCGGCTATGGGCACACGCCAGGCCTCACAGGGCGGGAAGAAGCATGCGCAAAGGGCCGAACGGGGTCTTGGTTCCTCTGCCCACACCCCAGTGGGAGGGATTCTGGTGGGCCAGGGGTGGGGAGATCTTAAACTTTCCTAGTGCATGAAATTTCATCAAAACTCAAAGAAGCCAGCTGGAGGCTGGAAACTGGCTTCTGGCCCTGGCTCTGCCACTGACTCCTTCTGTCACCTGGGGAAAGTCACTTCCATCTCTGGGTCTCACCTTACTATACAGTGAGGGTAAGACTTCCTGCTCCTCCCCCTTCCAATAGACTATTGTGAAGCAGGGGATAAAATGAGATGGCATCTGGCAAGGTGGGGGCCAGCCTGGGGGTCCCTGGAGCTTAGGGTCAGGCTGTCTGGGCCCCAGCCCTTACTAGCTGTGTGCTGTAGGGCTGGTTGCCTCACCTCTCTGTGCCTCAGTTCCCTCATCTGTAAAACTGGGGAGATGACAGACCCACACTGCTGGGTTGTGGGGAGGATTCATGGCCTGGTGTGCCCGGAACGCTGAGTGATACTGTGTCGTGGAGAATGGTGAGGACACAGTGGACGCTGGGTCTCCTCCCTGTCCGCTGTTCACAGAGCCCAGAGGGAGGGAGGCGAGACCCACGAGGAGGGGCAGCTGCAGTGCCTTCCCTGGGGATGGACTGTTCCAGTAGGTTCCCCTGGAAAAGCCTGTTCCCAACTTGAAAAGTGGTGGCCCAGGGAGGCCCTGGCACAGCAGGCGTTGGAGGGAAGAAAAGTCATGGCTGAAAGTGACCTGGGGATCATCTAGTCCAATTGGCTTATTACACAGACAGAGAAACTGAGGCCCAGAGAGGGAATAATTGTTCACAAAGAGAGTTAGGACAGGGGCTGGACTAGAGCCCAGGTCTCTAGTACTTGAGGTCTGGCCTCCACTGTGGAAGGTGGTCCGAGGGATTGCTGAGGTCAGCAGCAGGGACAGAGGGCTGTACAGGTGAAGGAGCAGAAGGCCTGGGGAGGACTTTGTGGGACCAGCCCGCCCCTCCTTCACCTCTGCGCAGCCTGGATCTCCCTGGGGCCTGACCGCTGTCCCCTGCGAGGGAGGGGTGGCCCCACAAAGGGCAGCCCAAACACTGCCCCATGCATATAAATACCATGGGATCTCTGCGAGAGCTCAGCTATCCCCACAGGGGTCTGCTTTAGAGGGTTTACTCATTTATTTTTAATGAAAAGGGGTCGTTTCCCTTATCAGGGGGACATCCAGGTGAGGGGTCCAACCCCAGGGTGGCCTGCCCATCCCCACTGGAGCCCCTGCCCCAGAGCCTTGCAGCCCTTACCTGAGTTTTCCAGACGGCAGGGCCTGGATTTGCACTGCTTGTCTGCAGAGAAGAAACAGAAAAGAATCAAAGGCTTAATAGCTCTCCAGATGGAAAGCTGTGGGCCCTCCCTGACTCGCTCTAAGAAAGCTGGTACTTTTTCCTCCAATGCCACTTCCTTATGGTGAGACCTCCCTCGCCTAGGTTTGACTTGATATCTGAGCAGTGGGGCCAGAAGGAGCCAGCCCTCAAAACCAGGGCCTGTCCAGGTGCTCTGCTTGCTCCCCTCACCTCCCTGCCACACCTACCTCTGCCTCTCCAAGCCTGTCCCAGCCGAGGGAAGGCTAGTTTATGCTGTTTGTATGTCTTCCTCACTTTCTGTCAACTCATGCGTGCTCATGATGCGGTCCAAGGTGGGAATGGAAGCCACATGGGGCATTTCTATGTATTAGATGTGGTCCACAGTTCCAGCAAACCGTCTGCCCCTAACTGAAAAGTGGGCCTTGCAGCCCTGGGCACGGCTCAGCCAGGGCCAGTGGCCCGCAGCCCGGACAGACCGGGAACCTGGGCCCACCCTCACGGCTCCTCCTTCAGCTTGCCCTGAGGGATGGACAGGAAGAGTGTCCGAGACCTGCCACAGCCTGACCTGGAACGTAGAGGCACAGCACCCACCTGAGGTCTCCCCACCCCCACCCAGCAACACGACAGCCCAGGATTTCCGTTCAAAATAAACACTGTCCTCTTGGAGACCAAGGCTGGGGTTCTTGACATTTCTGGCCACCGCAATCTGTGTGCCAGCCAGTACTGTAGCTAGAAATTAATTCCCTTCCAGCTTCCAGCCAGGAGAAAAGCCTGACCTGGTCTGTTTGGCCCTCAAATGGCCAGAGACCAGCCCTGCCTTGGTCAGGAAACCTTCGTCAGCCTCCTAGCAGGCAGGTGGCCAGCTCTGGCTCAGACACTGCCAGGGACAAGAAGCGTCCTACCTCAGAAGGTTGCCTCCCTCAGATGAAAGAAAGGGAGGAGGGGTGAGGACAGGACTGTGTCCCCTCACTGTTGGTTTGTTTTGAGTGTTTCTGTTTGTATCCCCTGAAAGCAGGGCAGGCATCCCACCCTCTGCACAGGTGCTCACCCACATGCCCCCTCACCTTTGATGTACTCGCAGTTGTACGTGCTGTGCTCACCCAGGGACCGGAGGTAGATGCGGGTGGGGCCCTGGGTCGGTCTGCTGGTGTTGATCACCTGGAAGGTCTCAAAAGGAGGGATCAGCACCTCCTCTTCCTCAGGGAAGAAGGAGTATCCCCTGATAGGGACCCCAAGACAGGTCCAGATGCCAAAGAAAGTTTCCTTACCAAAATTCTGGGCAGTGGCATTCTGCAGAGATGCCGAGGCAAAGCCCCCCAGCCGGACAGTGGCCCCAGGCCCTGCTGGCCGGAAGTGCAGGCCTTGCACCCCTCGAAACACCTGGTGGCACCGGGGGGAGCGCTGGGCCTTGCCCAGCAGCTGCAGAGCCTCCGTCAGCAGGAAATGGAACGTCTTGAAGGAGAAGTGTTGGAGGTAGTGGGCTCGGGTGCGGCCCGCCTCTCGCAGGGCCACATTGAACTCCTTGAACAGGGGGCTGTTGATTGTGTAGGCCAGGAGGGCCACCCCATGCTCATCACGGAAGCCGGGGGGTGGGGGGGGTGGGGGTGGTCCCCAGGCTTGGCGCTCCTGCCATCGGCTGCTTCCCAGCACCCAGCCATCGGCGTACACTTTGTTGGCCTGGAACTCCGTGCGGTTGAGCTCTGGGAGAGCAGCGGTCATGGCTGCTGCACAGCCAGCGTATTGGTCATCAAAGGAGGTTGGGGCCATGTCCAGGGGCCTTTCTTGAGAGAAGAGTTCTCGTCGTGCGATAGGGTGGCTCTGGGCCTGAAGGAGAGGGAGCAGCAAGGACCAAGAGGATGGGCCCTGGGAGTATGGGAGCCTATCCAGCTTTCCCCGCCACTGAGCAGAGGAAAACACTGTAAGGGCCCCAAACACACCTGGAGGGGAAGCGGGGTTGGAAACTCCTAACTGCAATCTCCCTGAGACTGGGTTTTGGGTCTGTCCCCTCGGGCTGAGCAAGCCCCAAGGGAAGCATCAGGCATTTTCTCTTCTGTCTGCTCTTCTTTCCAGAATTCAGAAGAAGCTGACAGCTCAGTTGCCCCCTGGCACAGGGATGGCAGAGGGTGACCATACCTGAAGTGCTTCCGTGAGGCCCATGGACACAAGCAGCAGAGACATCGCAACAGGAGTCTGCATGTTGGAGGTGACCTTGGGTAAGTTACTGTCTCTTTTGGGGTCTCAGTTTCCTTATCTGGAAAATGGGAATGTTAGCCTATACAGTTTACTAAACATTCATTGACACCTAGCCTCTGCTACTCCCAGTGCCTGGCACAGAGTCACAACAGAAATGGAGATTCAGGAGAGGACCCTTCTTGCTGCAAGCAACATGGGAGACTTCCTGGAGGAGGTGATATATGCACAGAGACTTGCAAGATGAACAGGAGAATAAGGCTTCAATCAGTGGAGAAAAAGAGAGAAAAGTTTGGAGCTTGGGGTGGGGAAAGGAGTTTGGGGTGGCAGGAATGAGAAGAGCAAAGGTACCGGAGGCAGGAACTCTCAGGACATAAAGAGTAAAACATTTTGTCTAGTGTGGCAGAACTTGCAATGTGGGAATGTCAGAAACACTGGGGCCAATCATGAAGGAGCTGCCACAGCGAGGGGCCTTGGCTTCACCTGGGGACACAAGGCTGAAACAGGGTGGATCCAGGGGTGGGTGGCTGCTGGAGCCACGGCAGGACTCCGGAGACAGGCTTAAATCAGGGCTCGAGGAGCCAGAGGGCTTCGCTTCTCCCTCCAGTCCCTCAGTCCTGCTGAGAGCTGAGCCCTCTTTCCCGAACCCTCAGCTGCTTCTAGGGCAGAGACAAATGTAGATCTCCAGGTGGGGAGGAAAGAGGGACTCAGGGAGGGGAGAGGACAGAGGGTGCCAGCTTCCCCTAGGAAAGCTGGAGGGAACCACAGCCTCCTACACCCTGTGGGTAGGGGCTGGGGGGCCGAAATAGCACCAAGAATAAGGCGTCTCAGCTTTGGGTCAGAACTGGAACAGTTTCTAAGCCAGTGCTGCTGCTTCTCTTTTGTTTATTTTATTACAAAGTAATGTGTGCTTGTTGTGGGAAAAAAATATATAAGTGAAACACAAAATCTAAGTTCCCTTTTCTGCTTTCTCCCCTCTGCACTCCCCTTCTCTCTAATCCATGCCTGCCAGTGTGTGTGCGTGTGCATGTGCGTGTGTGGGGGGCTGACCTGTGATAAAGGCACCCTTCAGGACCTCTTCCTATGCTCAGATAATGTCATTGTAAATACACTTACATAGTTTTACACATACGTTTACTATACTTACATATCAATGCACAGTCCTCTGTGTACAGCCTATTTTTGTTATTTTGTTCAAAAATAAAACTGGAACATCCTTACACATACATTCTAGGACTTTATAAATATGTCACGGACTTCCATGTTGTACATACATATCCACCTTGCTCATTATAGTGGCATCATGGTATTTGGGGGTACAGTTATGCAATGATTTACTCATTTCCTTATTAATGGATGCACATTTCCCCCCAATTTTTTATATTACATATAATACTACATGAACATCCATGAATATAAATACTTGTGCACTTGCACGCATATTTTATAGGAAAGGTATCAAGAAGTGCAATGACGTTTAAAGTTTATGGACAGTGTTTATCTTGCTAGGCACTGCTGGGCTCCATCCCAAAGGTGCCAGTCTGCCTTCCCGCCGACCATGAAGGAGAGTGTCCTTTCTCCACATCTTTGCCAACACTGCATATAATGAATCTCCGAGTTTCATTTGACTCGATCATAACTTTAATTTTCAATATTTTGAAGTTTTAACTTAATTTTATTAAAGGTAGTACCTTTTTATTGTTCAGCATGTCAGTAGTCCGAAAGGCACACAGTGACACACATGTTCCTCACTCACTCCCCAGTCCCGACCGCATCTCCCAGTGGCGACCTGTGTGCCGTTTTCCGTGCGTCCTTGCGGAGACACACGCAAATTCATGGGCATTTCTGTTTTCCTTCTTTTGCACAAATAGTAATACAGTTGGTGGCTCTTTATGTTTGAGAATCTCATGAAAACTGAAACCTGACCTCAGAAAATAGGTATCTGCACGTTCACATCGATGTCACATTAGTTTCAGGTGGTTATTCCTCTGCCCCGTCTCACTCGGGTTAGGCATCCCTGCTCCATCATCTCCTCTGGCTCTTGGCGGGAGGGCCTAAGTTTTGACAGATCAGTGACTCGAAGACACTGGGATTCTATGTGTTTGTAATTGTATGAGTCTCCAATCTAAGATCCTGTATACTGCTAATGTACAATTTAAACTGAGGCATGAGTGTCTGTGGGCAATGGAGTTAGCAGTGGTTTTTATCAAATTCAATTTGTCTGTCCCAAACTGAATTCATTACCTTCTCTCCCTAAACAAAAAAGTTTTGCGCCTCTGTAATAATCTATCAGGCACTGAGGATAAAATGATGAACAGCAGCAACAATAAACCCCTCAGCCCTGCTTCTTTAAGTCCTTTTGAAGTGGAGCTGGAGCTGGAGTGAGAAATTTCAAGTAGCATGTGATGCACGTTATAAAAGGAACCAAAAAAGCCGAACAGAAACCAATTTGTACCCGGAGTGGGGTTTAAAGGAAGGGCTGACCGGATGAGGCACAGAGTACACAGAGTTGAAAACAGCATCATGGTGGTGTGTAAAGCAAGAGACACTGCTCCCCAACTCCAGGATGGAATGCTAGTGGGCAGGATATGTGGCAGCAAAACCTACTTGAACTCATGTTGGTGGTCTCTTGGAATCCACCCAAAAAGCTTGAGTTCCATAGTAGATCCTCTCTTTCTGGTGGAGAACCCAGCCCACCGATTCAGGTGGGGCTTACCCCCATGGTGGGGAACACGTGAGCCAAAACTGGTACTTGACTACCCTGGCCATTGTGATTGGCTCATGGATGGACACATGACCTAAGCAAGGCCAATCAGAGTCTCTCAGAACAGAGTCCAACCTCCTCTGGCATTTGAGGCCCTCTGTGACCCAGCCCTCCGGGACCTCTTTAGCCCCCTGTACTGCTACCCCTGCTTGGCTTCTATAGCACAGAACAAAGTTCCAGGCATGCCTTCACCGTCTCCCTCCCTGTGGCTCTGCACACATGCCATCTGCTGGGGGTACCCTTCTTTTGCTATTCACTCTCCCAGGCTTAGCTCAGGGGTCACCTCCTCCAGGAAGCCCTCTTACTCCTCTGGGTCCCCTGCTTTCCTGTCACTGTCCTGATTGTACTGTGCTGCCCTTCTATGTCTGTCTTCCCTCCTGGCTTGTGAATTCTTTGAGGGCAGGAACCAGGTATGATGTATCCTGTGTCCCCAGAGTTCAACCCAAGGCCGTACCCAGGTGAAGCCTCCCAGAATGTTTGCTGAGGATCTGAGAGGCTTTCTGGGTACAACTAATAATGTAGATCACTGCAAGCAGATGAATCGATGACTTTGGTGACCAGTTTTGGGGAGGAAATGGGGTGGGGGCCAGGGGAGTGGGGAAGGCATGGGAGCTGAGGAAGTGGAGGCACCAAGCAACGCCTTTTCATATCCAGCTGCCCTTCTGTCCTCATCTGCTCCGACACTTCTTGTCGATTTCCCCTTATTTGGGCCCTCATGGAACATTTCTTTCTAGTGATGGGACTTCAAATGTTTCCCCAGGAATCTCCAGATTTCGCAGTGGCCCCAAACCTCTCTGTCAAAGGTACTGTGGTCTGAATGTTTGTCTCCTCAAAATTCATGTGTTGGAATCCTAATGCCTGGGTGATGGTATTAGAAGGTGGGGCCTTTGGGAGGTGGTTGGTTCCTGAGGGTGGAGCCTACTTGAATGGGATTAGTGTTCTAATAAAAGAGACCACCCCCCCCGAACCCCCTCCCACCGTGTGAGCACAGTGAGAAGGTACCGGCTGAGGTCCAGAGAGGGAGCCTCATGCAATCACGCTAGCACCCTGACCTTGGACTCTCAGCCTTCAGAAATATGAGGAACAGACGAAGATAAAGGAATCCCTAAAACCTGTCCTAGTGATTCCTAAAACTCTACCATTAATACCCCAAATTCCCCCTAAAAAATCTTCTTCCCCTACCCAGTGCCAGGGAAGAGGGTGGTGTGCCCCTTACCTAGGCCTTCTCCAGGGCAGGAAAGCTGGTGTTGGGCTCCTGTGATGGCCACCAGGGGAGGGGGAGGTCAGGTTCCTCCTTTATACTGTACCTCCCCCACACAGCTGCTCAGAAATGTGACACTCCCCCATCTATTTCTGGATGTCTCTTCAAGGCTCAGGAATAGGCCTCTGCCCAGTCTGCCCTGGGCCAGTGGTCTTCCCACAGAAAAGGGAACCCCTAAAGCCAGAGAATGTGGATTGAGGCATGGAGGTCCTGCATCCAGCACCGCTGGCCTCTGAGAATCTCTCCTTACATCCGTTGCTCATGTGAGCATGGAGACTCACCTAAGGTGCAAGGAGAGATTCCCAGATCAAGAAGGCTGAGTCTGGGTCCCAGGCCCAGCACTGATTTGCCATGCAGTCTTGAAGGACTTTCTGCCGCACGCCAGACCCCTGTTCAATGACAAGATTTGACTCCATCTCTTGGGGCCTTTCTTGGGGTTCCAAGTCTTGGGATGGGAGAAACAACTCCCCAAAGCCTAGAGGGTGGAGAGAGGATAAAACTGTGGTTCCAGTGTGTCTGGTCCCAGGAACTGCTGTCAGCAGGCCTTACTGTCCCAGACAGTACCTCCTGTGCCAGCGGCCACAAAGGCTCGAGTCTCTGCAGGCTGGCCGGACGCGGAAGCCGATGCTGCTTTTCGCAGTAATGGTGAACAGTAGAGAGGCTCCCAATTCGCTAGCCTGGGGGACTCTGGGGGTGGCCAGTCTCCTTGGAAAGGGGCAGTCTTGAGGCCGTTTGCCTGTCAGGCACTCTTGCTTTGGGGGCTGGCAGTGTTTCCACTCTCCACATCCCCCACCAAGCCCAGGCACAGAGTTTATCTTCCTTTTCGGTCCACAGGAAGAGTTTTGGAGAAAGCAGGATTCCAGGTGAAGGGAATTTTTTATTTGGCTGGCAGTCTGACAGGAGTGGGGCTAAACGAATGAGCCAGACCAGATTGGAGGCCCGGGGTAAATCCAAGTTCTGAGCCTACCTCAGCCACAGCAGGAAGTGGGCAGTGTCGTCGCTTAAATCTTGACATTCAGTGCCTCCAACTCCTCTGTCCTCCCTGGGGGAGGTCCCGTCCCACCCCCAGAAGCTCAGGCCCCCAGGAAGCTCTTCCCAGAGTGGCTTACTGGTTCCTTCTCCCATTACCTCTGACTGGGTATCCAAAACTCAGAGCCAGGTTATTTATAGACAAGCCCACAGAAAGGGAGGGGAAGGGCCAGTGTTTATAAACACCAGGTCACCTGAATCTGAGATCTCGAGGGAGAGTGGGTCTGGGAGGGTCTGGGAGGGTCTGGGAGGGTCTGGGAGGGGCGGGCTGGACCGTAAGCATCTGGAACAGAGGGCTCTGCCTTCAGTCTAACCCTACTGACAGGGAAAGGGGCAGAGACGGGAGGAGGTGGGCGCCGCTCAGATGCTGGGCCACACGTGACCCAACGAGAGGGCCATATGCAAATTGCACGCAAATCAGCAAGTACACAGTGGTGACGTCATGGCTGGCGAGACCCTCGTTGGGGTCCCAGGCCTAGTGGTCTGGGGGCCAGGTCAGGCCCCCTTGAGGGAGAGACCAAGTCTCATCATCTCCCTCCCCCAACCCTGGACTCGCTGGGAGCCAAAGAAGGCCCTGGAGAAAACTGAAGTTTGGGGAGGGGAGTCAGCCGCTCAGCCCCTTCCTCGCCACTCCTACTCCCTCTACCACGGTGTCTGTCGTTGGGGAAGAGAGGTGTTGGGTTACTGCCACGGGGGCTATAGTTAGATGTGGGACTTTGCTTGTCGGCGGGACTCCCGGAACAGGCTGTGCTCATCCAGACACCCGCCGGCGGAACCAAACCGTCCAGTTCTCTGCCTCCGACCTCCGTGATCTCCAGGTGCGTGCCAGGCCAGCGCCCCCTCCCCTGTCCAAGTGCAGCCAAGTCACCTGCACCACCGCAAAAAGACCTCCTGGAAGTAGGCACTGAGTTTAGGGGCATCCAGAAGTCAGGGGCGCGGAGACCTGGGGTTCTGCTTGTGCTGGGGGGTGGAGACAGTAATACCCCAGGTCCGCCCACTCTCTTAGGCCCGCCCTTGGCCCCTCCCATGCCTGAGCCCCGGGCCTTGGACCATCTTTCTCACACCACGGAAGGGCTGTGGATCTCTCCCTACAGCCTACTGAAGCCAAGCTTCCACCGCTGCCACTGGTCCCAGCTGCATCCGGACCTCGCCCTCCCGTCTCCCCCAGGATGATGCTGGCTGCTCTGCTGCTCAGCCTCAGCTGCCTTGGCCTCCACACCCTCTGGCAGGTAACTGGGGAAACCATCCCCTGCTACAAAGGAAAGAGTTGGGAGGCAGAGGCTTCAAAAATCTCTCCCAAGGACTGTTCTCTGGGACCCTGGTCCTTTTAATCCTCTTCACAACCTTCCTCCCTGCAGGGAACCCCAAGTTCCCATTCCCTCTCCCAGAACCCCCATCTATACCAACTGACTGCCCTGTGGTCCCTCTTCCTTCATATCATCCCTCCCTAGGGACTGCCACTGACTTCCTCATCCCCCGTTCTCAGGCTCAGCCCGGGCAGACTGGGTTGGGCTCCTGTGAACTGCCCTCATGCAGCCCTTCCCAGGCCAGGGCTCCCCGCCCCGACCCCACCCCAGGTTTGGGGATGAGGGCCTCTGAAGCCAGAGAGGACTCAGGAGTCTCCAAGCTGACAGTGGCTTGGTGTGGTAGTGGAGCACCTGCCTGGGAGTCAGAGTCTGAGGATGCGACGGGGTCAGGTCATTGGGACTGGTGGCGCATTTGTAGTATAATCCGCACCCTGCTTCTTAGGGCCAGGACAGCGCTTGGAAGCCAGCAGGCTCCACCTCTCACTTCTCTTTGATGAGAAGACAGCCCCTTTTAGGTTGAACAGAAGTGAAGATCTCTATGCTGTCCTCACAATAGCCCTGTGAGGTTGGAAGTATCAACTTCCAGGTAGAGAACCTGAAGCCCAGAAGAGTTAAGAGACTTGCCCAAGATCCCGCAGAAGCGAGTAGGTGATGAAGTCAGAATCTGAACCCTTGTCTGCCTGACTCCAGCGCCCATGTTATTTAAGCCCTCGAGCCCTTGCCAAATTGTATATACCAGATATTTGGGCATAGAAATGAGATTGTTTCCAAACTGATCTGCCACCAGGACCCCTGTCCAGTGCTCTGAATCTGTACCCCTTCCTCTGTGGCTCCTCTCTTCCTTACCTCACTAGGCCCAGGCTGTCCCTATCCTGCCCCTGGGCCTGGCTCCAGACACCTTCGATGACGCCTACGTGGGCTGCGCAGAGGAAATGGAGGAGAAGGCGGCTGCTCTGCTGAGGGAGGAGATGGCCCGCCATGCCCTGCTGCGGGAATCCTGGGAGGCAGCCCAGGAGGCCTGGGAGCAGAAACAGCGGGGGCTCACCCTGCCCCCTGGCTTCAGACCCCAGCATGGAATCGCTGTCATGGTCTACACGAACTCATCTAACACCTTGTACTGGGAGCTGAACCAGGCCTTGCGGACAGGCGGCGGCTCCCGGGAGTTCTACATGAGGCACTTCCCCTTCAAGGCCCTGCATTTCTACCTGACCCGAGCCCTGCAGCTGCTGCAGGGGAGCAAGGGCTGCACTCGGGGACCTGGGCAGGTGGTGTTCCGAGGTGTAAGCACCCTTCGCTTTGAACCCAGAAGGTTGGGGGATGCTATCCGCTTGGGCCAGTTTGCCTCCAGCTCCCTGGATGAGGCGGTGGCCCACAGATTTGGTAATGCCACCTTCTTCTCCCTAAGGACTTGTTTTGGGGCGCCTATCCAGGACTTGTCTGTTTTTCCCAAGGAGCGCGAGGTGCTGATCCCTCCCCATGAAGTCTTCTTGGTCACCAGGTTCTCCCAAGATGGAGCCCGGAGCCTAGTGACTCTCTGGAGCTATAATAAGACCTGCAGCAACTTTAACTGCGCCTATCTGGGCGGTGAGCTGTGCATGACGGAAGCAGGACTGGCGGGGGGCAGAGGAGGACGTGAAATAAGCCCGGATGTCCCTGTACGATCCCCAGTGCCTTCAGGAGACCTACGCGGTTAATGGGGAAGCTGAGGGCCAGAGGTCAGCTGCAGTTACTGTTCTCTGTGACTCAGGTCCTGTCAGTGCTTTCCAGATCTGTGCATGTTTTCAAATGATTCTGTAAATGTTCCCGAAAAGTTCCATCTGCTATATAGAGCCTAACAGAGCAAAAGAGCCCTGTTCAGGAGATCAGCAAGCAGAGGAAAGTGACAGGAGTGCTGCTGGGGATCTCAGGGGACCCTGGGCTTACCGGGGCCCCCAGGGTGCGCCTGAGTGATTCCCACATGCTGAGGCAGGGACAGATGCAGGAGTGACTGGGGCTAGGGTGGGAGCAGGGATGGGTAGGCTAACGGGAAGATTTCCTGGGGGAAGGAGGAGGAAGGGAAGTCAGAAGTTTGCATTCAGGAAAAGGGAACGGTGGATTGAGAAGGGGGATGGCCAGTGCCAGGGCCTCGTGGGATGGGGAGTGTGGGGTGTGAGCGTCAGCTGACGTGAAGGCCTCGCCTTGCTGTTTATTACAGGGGAGAAGAGGCAGAGCTGTGTGTCTGCACCAAGTGAGTGACCCTCTCCCCGCCCCCTCAGCAGCTTTGGCTCCTCCTGGCCTGGTGGGCCCCTCAACTCCTTTTTTTCTCTCTTTCCAGCAGCGGGGGCAGCCAGACTCGCTCTCCAACAGGGCCTTCTCTCTGCTCTCCTGGACAACCCTGCTCGTGGCCCCCGTGGGGTTCCAGTGCTCAAGAGCTGGGCCCTTGAAAGTCCAATGCCTGCCACTTAGGAGTCTTGGAAACTGCTGACCTTCATATGAAGAAGGAACCTTCGAGCAGCCTCGAAGCAGGAGCACGGTTTCAGACCAGCCCTAGAAGCCATCTCCCCACCCAGGACGTGGGGGAGTCTGAGGCCATGGAAGGTCGGAGGAAGCCCTGCTGTGTGGTGGGGACTCCCTGGGACAAGTAAGGCTAGTACTGTGATGACCATTTTATTAAACAGTGTTGGAGTGTGGTGACATTGAATTTCATGATTGGTTTATCCCATGAGACTGGCCCATCTCTCCTGCTCTGGCCTTGTGGGATTGAGGGACTTAAAAGAATGGTTTCTTTATCACTCCTGGACATGGCACCCATGCAGACCCTCGTCACACACTGCAACTCGCAAACCCAAAAGCTTTAACAGCCAGAGGTCCTCATAACCCCCTGAAGGCAGGGACAGGACAGATGGATTGCTCTGCTCATTTGTCAGATGAGGAATGCAAAGCCAAGGAAGAAAGCCACTTGCTCTAGAGCAGAGTTAGTGCTGAAACCAGGCCCCGCCTCACAGCCCAGAGCGCTGCTCTGAAGATTGAAAGAAACTCAAGGCGGGGATCCTAAGCCCAAGATACTTGGGATCCTGTTGCCGTTTCTCTCTGCCTGCTCCCACAAGGGTCCCTTTTGGGGGAGTGGGAGGGAATCTCAAAACATGAGGGGACAGAGATTTTCACACGCTCTGGAGGCATCTGACATCCTGCACAGAAGCTTTATTGAGGTGAGGAAAGCAGTATAGGCCCCTCCTATCCTAAGGTGACCCTCGCCCACACCGTGCAGGCTGCTCTACTCAGCAACAGAAGGAGGAACCCTCCCACTGCAGCAGGAACCCTTCTTGGTTCCCAAATCTTCCTCCTGCAGCAGGTCCCCAGCTCCCTCTGAATCCTGCTGTCTGTGCACTAGCACATGAGCTGGGGAGGGAGGACCAGGCTCCCCAGGATCTGGAGTCCCAGCTCCTCCGGCGTCCTGAAGCCCAGTTTCTGAAGATATCTGGGCCCCCACAATCTCTGGCACTGTCAGCTCTGGGGTCTCAGGGATGGGGGGCCCCAGGTTTTGGAAACTGTTGCGCACTCGGGTGATATAGCGGCTGAGGATGCTGGCGCCTTCAGGGGGCCGGCGCGTCCCTCCCTCCGCCAGAGTCCGCTGCACTCCAGCTACCTCACTCTGCAGCCGAGAGACGGTCTTGGTCAGCTCTGTCAGCCTGTTGCCCAGGTCTGCAGGAGGGTGGGCGGGAGAGAACTGAGGGGAGGTCCCTCAGAAGATGAACCTGCCCTGCAACACTTCTATCCCTGACAGAACCCCAGGGCGCGTCACGATTGGGGGTCCCGAGGGAGAAGGGGGGAAAGTGAGAATGGGGGTCGAGTGGGTAGGTGCGTAGGGGCACGTGAATCTGAGAGGGGCCAGGTGGTGGCGAGTTCAGAGAAGATACGAAGACGGAAAGTCTGTGGGCCAGGGAAGGAGTCAGGAACCTGAAGGCTGGGAGAGTGCTCTGACGGGTGGACACTTGTGTGTCCGCCCTGTCGCCCCATCCGCATCTGCAGTGACCTGTCCACCTCACAGCCATCCTCAGCGCCCAGGCCAAATTCCACCCCCTCTTTCTCCAACTTCTGGCTCTCTGTTCTTCTACCTTCCCATGAGCCCCTCAAAACGAGAGGCTCCTTCTGTCCTTTGGGCCCCACTGCAGTTTGGGTCTGTCTTAGCTAACTAAGTGAGCATTTTCTGCCTAGTAAGATGGTTTCTCTTCCTCTCCAGACTGAGAGCTTCCTGTGCGTCCCTGCCCTACACAGTCCCCCACCCTCCAAGACAGGGCCTGGAACAAAGGGCACAGGTGTGGCCATGAATGTTGGTTGAATGAGTGAATGAATGAATAGTGAATTAAGTAAATGAATAAATGACTAAGGGAGTGATGAGACTAAATGAACACATGAATGAGGGCAAGAAGAAAGGATTACATAAAATGAGCGGAATAAATGAATGGGTCAGGGAGTAATTCAGTGCCCGGGGCCACACTGCAGGCTGTGGCTCCTGAGGGCAGGGTAGGATGGGGCCAAATATCACTGCAGGCTGCGTGAGGGACGTGAGTCTGGGTGCGGTGCATTTACCCTAGCCAGCACGGAACAGGAATGGGGAAGGCTTGGAGGTGAGCAACCAACCTTTCCGACGGGTCTCCTCGAACTCCCGCCGGGCAGTCTCTATGTAGCGCTGGACCAGGGCCTTGATGACTCGAAGGCGGTAGGATCCACGTTCTCCATCCCCAGGCCCTGCCCCTGCCCCTGCCCCGGGGTTGGCCTGGGAAGGGAAGAAAGGAGGGTGAGAGAGATTCTCCAGGTCAGCTTTTCTCTAGTCCCTGCTCCCTCCTCCAGGCAATGAAGGATGGAGGCAAAGTCTGTGCAGACTTTTCTGTCAATGAAGGCCACACATATAGACCCTGGTGCAGTCCGGGAAGGTGGAAGGATGGCGGCCAGGAGTTGGGCGGTGGGGTGAGGGTTGGGAGGTGGAGGGGCAGTGGGCAGGGACAGAAATGTGGAGTGGGGCAGGCACAATGGGATTTTCTCTCTGGCCACTATCCTACCGTTGGTTTTCCTGAGTTGAGTTCGTCCAGGTAGCCCTCCCCTTCAAACTCTGAATACTTAGGAAATAGTTATTTATATTTATATAGTTTTATCTTAAAATAGTTTATAGTTAGCATATTTACTTTTATAATATAAAAAAGCAAAGCATTTTATGAAACACATTTAAAAGGGAGATATGGAGCTGACAGAGATGAGGCAGGCAGAAGCGTAAGAGAGAAAGACGGGCCCTTTCAGCCACGGAGTATATAAAGCTCTTTTCCTGTATAAAACGAAGAATAAGAACTTTGGGAAGCCCTTTCCTGAGGAATGCAGGACAACTGGGAGGGGGCACATGGTTGGCTCATCAGAGGGCAGGCTAGGAGGTGGGGTAGCTGGAAGAAGGGCGGGGCCTCCGGGGAGGTGCAATGGAGGGCTGTGGAGCCCCCCAGCTGGCTGGCACAGTGGGATCCAGTGATCCTGCCCAGCCAGGTCTGGCACAGGCCCAGCTAACCGAATACAACCTCAGGTGAAGAAGCGGAGTTTCCAGCCTAGGGTGGAAGCAGTCCTCACATGAGGACTGCAAATATGCACCAGGCATCCAGAACAGGGCCAGGAAGTGGGTGGGGGGAGGGATCCAAGAGGGTGACAGAGGTGTCCATACAGGGCAGCTGGAGCCAGGATATGGAGGGAACTGGGAACTTTGGCATTTAGTTTCTTGTGAGAGTCATGTTTTCTCCATGCCTTTGTACATGCTGTCCCTGCGCTTAGATCCCCCTTCTCCACGCTGCCTCCCATCAACGTCCTGTTTGTCCCCCAGGATTCTGTTCTGCCCTGCAGGTCTCTAGGAGGCTCCCTGACTCATGAGGCTGGGTCTGGGATGGCACACCAGACTGAGTAGGGGTCAGACAAGGAAAGGCATGTGAGCCCCTTGGAGGCCTGGCCTCTTCTCTTTGACCTCTGTCAGCCTTCTAATTTCCCAGTGGCAGCAGGGGGCACTCTTCCCTCCACTTCTTAACATGCTTTTTTTTTTTTAACATTCAACTATGTCTTGGCCCAGTTTAGGGCAAAAAATTTGGTGGCTTGGGAGGAGGGTGGCATGGACTTCTGTTTAAGCTAGATGACACAGGGTTGCAAATTTAGGAAAGGACCAGAGCCAAGAAGAGGGAAGGGCATGCCATGTGAGAGAGTAGGAATTGGGAACAGGCTTTCTAGGGAACACACCGGGAAAGACAGACAAGCCAGGGGTGTGCAGACAGATGGATGGAATAGACAATGCAGTTGAAGTCAGGCCTGATGTGAGGAGGACCAACCCCAAGCAGATGAGGTACTCACAAAGGTGGGGATTGGGGGATAGTCTGGCTTCTTGGTTTTGCAGCAGGAGCAGCAACAGCAAATAAACTGGAAAATCCTCCTGAGAGAGTTAGATGGCGGGAAGAAGTTAGTCAGAGGGCAGGGTCCAGGGCAATGGGGGCAGGCAGTGGTGTGGGGGTGGGGGTTCCGAGCGAGAGCTCTGAGGTCATCACCGGAGGAGGTAGAAGAGGGCCTTGGGGGAGGGCAGAATGTTGAAGGGCACGGGCAGGGTCAGGCCCTCTCGGAAGTAGGACAGGTAGAGCTTGGAGCGAGCAAACTTCCATTCCACGTCAGCATCGTCCTGTGGGCAAGGAGGTGGGGGGCGCTGCAGGGACCACTTGTGCACCCAGCCCTCTGCCTGCTCAGTCTGCCTCGCCTCCCGCTTCCCCGCATCTTCTACTTAAGGTGCCAACCACTTTTTTCTCCTCTCACTCATCTCCATTATCATCCATCACCCACATTTCCCCTTCCTATCCCCACTCCCTCCCCATTATTTTTCATCCTTCTGACATCCAGTTCCCGCCCAGACATTTCTCCAGCCACAAACCTTAGCCTCTCTGTTTCCTTTCCCCTCCCTTTTCAGGTTCCCACTTACTTTCCCACAATGCACCCATCCTCCCAACCACAAAGTGGAAAAGAACACTAGCCTCGCGTCTGGAGAAACTAACAGCATTCCTGAGACCCTCATGGTACAGATGAGGAAAATGAGTTCTTGAGGGGGACACTTGACTCCAGTCACAGAACAAGACAAGAGTGGAGGCAGAGGAGAACCCAAGTGTCGTGACTCCTTGTATCCTATTCCCCTCTCCCCCTTTCTCCCTTCTTCTCCATGGCCTAAGCTGGCCTCAGTTCACGCACCTCAATCTTCTGGAAGGAGTTGGTGATCATGGCAATGAGCATGTTGAGCAGCACAATGACCATGACGATGGTAAAGATACCGTAGAGGGCCCGGCCCACAAATTCAGGCACGAGAAACTGAGGCATGTCTACCACGCTGTGCTCTTCCATGCCAAACATGGTCCAGAACAGAAACTGGAATGTCTCGTTGAAACTGGCGTGTTGGGACAAAGGGTAAGATGTGAGGGGTGGGAGATGAGCCTTAGTGCCACCTGGACACCCTCCTTTTCCCGGTCCAGGACTCAGTGAAAGGTGTTCTTCTTCCGTGAAGTCCTTTGGACCACCCTGGCTCAGAGACGCTTGCCCTTTCTGAGCTCCAGCTTTCATTCTCTCAGTGAACCAACATTTACTGAGCACATAGTAACGCTATAGATGCTAATGATACAAGACGCTAAGGATTTAAGCAC